TACACTCTTAAAAATAAAGGTGCTTCAAAAGGTTCTTGAAGCGATGCCATAGAACAGCGGTGGCGAACTCCGGTCCTGGACAGCCGCAGCCCTGCAGAGTTCAGCTCTAACCCTAATTAAAACTCACCTGCCTGTAGCTTCCTAGTAACCGTTCAGACCTTGTTTAGCTTGTTCAGGACCTTTCTGAAAAGCCTTCACACATGTTTATGATGCCTTAAAATGCTCTCTCTGTAGTCAGCTCACTTGGTTTTGAAAGAGATATACTGTAAAATTAATATTAAATATAGACAGCATGCATATCTGTGTGCACTGACAAGACAGCTAATTGCGACATCCAGTTTCACTTCCTTTACCACACGCTTCCTTTGCTCACTGCTCCTGATTCAATTAGGCATCCCCTGCTAATAATCTTGTGTGGTTTGGCAATTTATGGTATTTTAAGATAGTTCTCCATGGGTCTTTCTAAACCACTAACCCTCATCTGACTCTGATCCAGGGAATTCAATTAGTTTATCTGCTTGTAATTGGAGGATCTCAGAGGTGCTTCTTGAAGGAGGTTTCAGGTCAGTTTGTTCTCTGCATATTTCTTCAGGCCAGTTTTTGTGTGATTACTATGTGATGAGTGAAACCAAGGCTTTTTAAAAAGCCAATTTGTTTTAAGCCAATTTAGGTTATAAGCACTGTTAGATCATCTGTTTTGCATTGACATTCTTAACTAATTGTACTTAGATGAGGCATTATATACGTATAAAATATTTATTTTATATTATATTATAAAATTGAAGCATAATACTTACATAATTTAACTACTATTAATCATATTTTATATATTTAAAATATTAATATTAATCCACAATATTTAAAATATGTCATTAAGCCCCATTTGTATAGGCTTAGACAATTCTGCGTGATCTGAGTTTTGTGGAGAAAACATTCGTTTCGCAAAGAAAAAAGTATTTCGAGCACATGAAAATCAATTTTGCATTTACAGTAAGTTTTTGGATGTGTGCAGACCTTCTCTTTTGCGCGTGCAACGTTTCACCAGCTTGCTCGCCTGATGCCCGCCCTCAGTGCTCTCTAAATGCCAACAGCTCGCTTGCTCAACACAACCCAGCGTTACAATATGCCATAATTCCAGCCAATCAGAGACTAGGCTGCTAAATTCTGATTGGCTGCCTTGACAACCACTCACAACATTTCTTGCATTACCACGACAGCAGAAGAGGAAAAAATACAGTGCATGCATAATTATTATGCAAGTTGATATTCTGATTATATTTTTTTCCAAGCACATTTTACCAATTCCAAACAACATCAATCTTAATAACCACTATTAGTCTTGCATTTAATCACTTATAATCTATATATTATTGTTCAAGAAGGCTGGAAGTGAAAAACGCCTTCTATTCAGGTATATTCATGCACTGTATCTTTCCTCTTCTGCTGTCGAAGTAATGCAAGGAATGTTGTGATTGGTTGTCAAGACAGCCAATCAGAATTTAGCAGCCTCATCTCTGATTGGCTGGAATTATGGCATATTGTAACGCTGGGTTGTGTTGAGCAAGCAAGCTGTTGGCATTTAGAGAGCACTGAGGGCGGGCATCAGGCGAGCAAGCTGGTGAAACGTTGCACGCGCAAAAGAGTGTCTGCACACATCCAAAAACTTATTTTAAATGCAATATTGATTTTCGTGCGCTCAAAATACTTTCTTCTTTGCGAGACAAACATTTTCTCCACAAAACTCAGTTCGCGTGCATGCAAAATGCACTTTTGCATACTCAAAATATGATCTTTCGTGCACAGAATTGCGGCAGAGATGTAATCCCATACATTTGAGCCACGTATTTGTAGTGAGTTTTAGGCTCACCTCATTTCACTTTTTAAACAGTGATTTGACCTAAATAAACTCATCAGCTGAGGGAGAAATTGGGAGCAACAGGAGCAGATATTTCTCTCATTAGAAAGACTAGCCAATGAAGATGTGATGTTTGACATTTGCAGTCAGGTGGCGTTTGCTGCCTAGATCCTTAAAGCGATAGTTCACCCCAAAATGAAAATTGTATCTCATATCATTCCAAATACATATGACTTACTTTATTCTGTGGAACAGAAAAAGTGCATGAAGAAAAAAAAACTGTATATTATTCAGAACTCACATTTTGTTTACAAAGAATCTTACTCGTTTTTGAACGATATGAGAGTAAAATTACAGAGTTTAATTTTTGTGTGAACTGTCTCTTTAAATACACAAAATTGTTACCACTGGATGCTGAGCCTTTGCAGTGTCTTGGGCATTCTGTTTAACCAAAAAGTGATATATCAAAGGTTTTAAAAGGATAGTTTGCCCAAAAATTATAATGTCATCATCTACTCACCCTCATGTCATTTCAAACCTGTATGAATTTCTTTCTTCTGCTGAACACAAACAGCTAGTTAATGGTAGCCATTGACCTCCATAGTATTTTTTTCTGTATGATGGAAGTCAATGGCAACCGTCAACTCTTCGGTTACCCACAATGCATTCTTGAAAATATCTTTGTTTGTGCTCAACAGAAAAAAGAAACTCATACAGATTTGGAACAACAAGAGGGAGAGTAAATGACGACTGAATTTTCCTTTTAACCTGTTAAACCATGTTTATCTCCAATCTGTATAAACCACAGTTATGAATTCGTAGGATAAATTAGATATAAATCTAATTAGCAAAATGTTTAATACAGACATTTTCTAAATTTATCAAGTTTATCAGATATTTATGATGCAGTTTAGTCACTTTTATTTTGGTGGTTATACAAAATTGTGACCTTAGTTTAAGTGAAAGGTTTTAAACTTTGTTCTGTTCCTGATCCAACTCGTTAAAATAATTATAATCAAATCATTCTTTACTTACGGTAACCACTTAAGAACTTTTCAGGTTTAAAGCTTTTAAATAATGTAATATAGATTTTTTTTATCAACATAAAACATGAATCATGACTAGGAGTAAAAAGAAATGACGAACAAAAAACAAAAGTCCAAAATCAACACCTTTTTATTTTCATATATTTTCATAAAGGATGAGTGCAAAGAAAGAGCTTGTGATGTGTACCAGTCGCTAAGCCATGGACCATAAGGCATCAGTAAATACAAGCTTTATATATACTTACAACAAATACATAATACAAAAACTCAATCATGACATGGAGGCCATCAAAGAAATCTGCGAAGACGCGTACACAATATCAGAAAAGAAACGTAAACCAGAGTGATGGAGAAGTGTTGATAAATAATCAACGACCACCGAGGAAATGCATGGATGGATAGGAAGAAAAAAAGAAAAGGAAAACAATGCTAACAACAATGCACACACACATACACACAGAACAATTCATACATTCATAATGGAGCAGAAATATAATACATGACAATGAGGTCGGATTGAGTGATTGGAATATTAATTACACCAACAGATTATTAAGCAAAATCTACAGCCTGTTAAATAGGCCTGATATGGAAGCTGCTAATAATGGTTGTTAACAAGACCCCATCTTCTCACGATTTCCCATCATTCCCAGTGTAAAAACACTGTCCCGACACGTCCTCGTAGCCCTGTTTCAAAAAATATATAAACGTTATAGCACAGTTCTTTACTTGTAGCTTTAAAATTGTGCCTTACTAGACTTTAAATATAATTTTGTATTACTTTCTTAGTTTCTCACAAATGCCGTCATTGTATTTAGTCACAGCTTGTAAAACTACTATGTCTGGTTCTGAATTCGAGGGGACAGATCCCCTTAAAATGTTCTCATGCATGTAAAAACGGTCGACCGTACAAATATAAACGCCCACTTAACAACATCTGTATTTTTGTGATCCTAAAATATACTTGAGCACTTCAAAAAATAACAGCAGCAACAAGTTTGTGAGCACTGGCACCGTTTATGACCCAAAAAACCATGGCTTTACAAGTGAGCAGATTGTCTGTACCCAGAGTGCATGGTGGAGAAAGCGGGATAGCGGTTCGGTTTAAGCCATACCTAGCTAGCGACACCAACCTTCACACTCGTTTTGACATGATCACCGTTCCGTGTTACAACATGGACACTCCAGAACTTGCAACATGCAACAGTCATATTAATGAGATGTGATTTAGAATAATATACAAATGCCGTCGTGGAGAATAGTGCACTATTACTCATGGTACTGTATAATCTCTACAATATAACAATGTGTAGCCTAGTACAAACAACGCAAAGCTTTAAATTATGCAAAAACATTCGTAAGTATGCACTGATAAGAAAAGGTTCGTAAGTGTGATAGATAGATACAGTCCGTTATATCCATCCCTTTTTCTTTGTAGGCTCAGGAATAGCAGTTTACCCCCAGGTAATTCTGTTTTTGTCACAGTTAGGCATGATACAATTCAAGTGTCGATTATATACATACCGTACGTGCCTCGAGTCGTGACGGCACGTTCGATTACGGCGCCGTCGCGCGAACGATGTTGACGGCGCGAGTAAATGAGTGATACTGTATCTACAGTGCGACAGGAAGGGAGAAAAATTCTTCACATTCTCGGAATACGCGCCTCCCTGCGTTGCGGTAAAGCTTTGTGATCCGAAAATTCGAACGACGGGATGGAATTCTGAGAAACACTGATACAGCGTGAATGAGAGAAAACAAACAAGTGTAAAACAACTCCAAAGGGTACATTTCTCAGAATCGAAAAAATAAATACATTCATCCAATGACTAAATTCAAAAAGAATTTAAAAAAAAACAATACAGGCGAAAACTCGAATCACACTAGTTTCAGTTGTTTATAAAAATGCATTGCAGAGGTTCAACGAAAGAAAACAACATTCACTGAAAGTAGACTCATTCAAGATAATGAGAAATAATCACAAGCAGTTGATATATGCAAAACAGATCAAACATTTAGCAACAAAAAAGAGAAGAAAACATCTCCCTTTCATGACCAAAGGATACACCAGAAAATACTGTGTGTGCGCTCTAAATATGCTAAATGATCACTGCGTTAAGGAAACGTCGCTAAATACAGCAGAATACATGCACCATCCAGTAGTGACTCTCTCAGTCACGCTGACTCCATTGTAACGCTACCTTACGATTGTTTTGCGTTTTTTTTGTTTCTTTAAAGTTTATTTTATAAACAGGCGGTTTTGACTTTAGCTTAGCTCATTTCACATACTCAGCTGATTTCCAGAAGTGTACTGGGTGAGACAGGCGACGGTTGCGTTTCGGGAGTTTCTCCAGTAGTTCCACGAGCTTGGAGAAGCTGGGTCGCTCTTCCTGTTCATACGCCCAACAGAACAGCAGGATGTCCTGCACGGGAAAGAAGAATCTGATCAAGTACTAGGTTCTGATTTGACGTGATCTAAAAGCCATTATAAAATGGATAGGTCCAGTACTTGATTCTGATTGGTTGAGCTGCATTCAAAGCTGTTGTAAATTACTCTACAAACACCTCTTCGTTTCTAAATATGTGTGTTGCTCGGCAGCCACTTTGTTGCAACCACAACCGTTTTTGAGAAACTACATTGTTCGGCAGAAGAATAATGTTTTTATTAATATCTTTACATTTTATTTTTGTGAAACCTTGCTACGTGTATGGAATAACCGTTTTATAAAAGCAATAAGCCCTGTGAAGTTTACAGTGAATTCATAACAGGTAAGGGGGATTTAGGCCCCTAACAGCACCCCTTAGCTGTTATATATTCACTGTAAACCACGGCTCCTTGCGGCTTAATGCTTTAGTCAAGCATGTCCAGGTCAGTTTTTTCTTTACAATGAAAATAAACTGGACAGCCTCCTTTGGGACTGTCATGCTCAAACCACAAAAGCACAGTAAAAGTGGTTCATATGACACATACACTATATTTGACAGCTTTGTGTGTGAAAAGTTGACAATTGTAAGAGTTCTTCAGCATGTGAGGTGTATGTGTATAGTACTTACGGATATCTCTTTGCCCATGCCGATCTGAGTGAGGATGGGCTTCATTCCACTTCCCACCTGCCAGATAATGACTTCAGCTGGCTGATTCTTAAAGGGCCACTCGCGCGCATGGAGCTCGTACCAGATAGTGCTGAAAGACACGACACGTGAATGTTAGTGTGTGTGCATGCATGTACTGGTTTCTCTATACTTGTGAGGGACAAATGTTTAAAAAGTTGTCATTAATATAATAAAAACCTCTTAAAAGCAACTAAAAAAAGGTTTGTAAATGGGCTAAACAATGTCTTAAAATATATTTATATAAAATAAAATATAACTACATGAAGAACTTTTAAAAAAGGAAACTTTATATCTATAAATGAGACTCTGAGTGTTGTTTCACTCACTTGTGAGGGCAAAATGTCTGAAAATATAGAGTATAAACATAAAAATACAGTAAAAACTATTAAAAACAAAAAGTTTGTAAAGTGGCCAAATAATGTCTTTCCTAAAATTATTCAAAATTAAATGAAAAAAATCTCCAAATCCTAATAAATGTAATATGCTTCATTAAGATTTTACATTTTAAAAATACTAGTGTATATATACACTTTCAAAATTGTAATACATTTAATAATTTATTAGTATATTTCTGAATGCTCTGACTTACAGTATTTAGGGGGGAAAACTATTAAAATATCATAAATTGGTTCATAAATTGATAAAAATGTTTATACATAGTTTTATATATCATATAATGATGAATAAATCAATAAATCGTAATTATAATTTGCATAATTTAAGAACAACAGGAGTTCTTTACCACGTATTTGTGTACAAGTTTATGAGTCTGTGTACAATGGTTAGAGAGTCGGACTCGTAACCCAAAGGTTGCGGGTTCGAGTCTCGTACTGGCAGGGATTGTAGGTGGGGGAGTGAATGTATAGCACTTTCTCCCACCTTCAATACCACGTCTGAGGTGCCCTTGAGCAAGGCACCGAGCCCCCAACTGCTCCCCGGGTGCCGCAGCAAAAAAATGGCTGTCCACTGCTCCGGGTGTGTGTTCACGGTGTGTGTGTGTTCACTGCTGTGTGTGTGTGCACTTTGGATGGGATAAATGCAGACCACTAATTCAGAGTATGGGTCACCATACTTGGCCACATGGCACGTCACTTTTGAAAATGTGCCTAAAACAGTGAAATAGCTCTTTCTCTGAAAAAAAAAAGTTTGTAAATGGGTCAAATGACACCTTTATTAAAATCACAAATTATATAAATAGATCTTAATTATAATTTTTTTAATTTAAGAAGAACAAAAAGTCAGATGGAACTACTCACAAGTCACAAGCATATGTGTGTGTGTGTGTGTGTGTGTGCACGTGGACGGGCCTTCCTGAGGGGCCAGCAAAATAGCAGTTCAAAAGCTTTAAAGCACTCCTAGTACATTACGTCATTTGCATTTCGACTTAGTTAGAAGTCATCCAAGATAATTAATAAATGACTTTGAGGTGCTGTTGACTGCTGAAAAACTGCTCTATTCTGCTCTAAAGGGCGTGCTCATGTTAAAGTTTACTAAACCACACTTAAGAGCTAATTAACAATCATTGAATGGAGAGCGCTGCTGAAAAGCCCAATCATCAGAGCTCTGCAATTTAAAACCAAAAGTAAAATGTGCAGCTTGCTGCGATTGGTGAGAAAAACAAAATCAATGTAATTGAGATGGCTTTTGCAGTACTGAGAGGGAGAATTCACTTTGAGAATTGCATTTGTACCCGATGATACACTCTTTGGCTATGTCCACATTAATTCAGATACATTTGAAAATGTATCTTTTTTTCTGTTTTGGCCCTTTGTGCACAATGAGACAGTGTTTTTGTTAAAAGATGTTTTTGTGTTGTAGTGTGGACTGTGAAAATGATGACACATTTAGTCACGTGACACATCATCACAATCATGTATATCTATGGATGCACCAGCATTGTTGTGCCTGCCGTTTTATGCATATAGAGGTCAGTGCGGACGAGCAACACTAGTGTGGACAGAGAGCATTTTGAAATGAAAACGTTTTGTTTTTAAATATATCCGTATAATTGTGAATGTAAAAAAAAAATCTATTTTTGGTGTTGATGATTCCATGAAGAACCTCCACAGATTTCATAGAAAATTGCATAGTGAATGATGGTCACAGATAGCTTCAGACTGTGATTCCATCCAGTTAGATGATATCACATATGTTCAATATTTGGAGCCGACTTTAGAACACAATGTTTTAAATTTGTCATTCACCTGCTAACAACAAGCTGTGTTTCTGTGTGAATTTGTTGTGTTTGGAACAACTTGAAAGTCCGGTAGTGTGATCCTCAGTAGTATAGTATATAATGCCCACTTTTTCTCTGTAACTATTTACAAAGTCGTCAAGTGTATGATTCCTAGTGTTTTCAAATCTGTTCAGATTTTAAAAGTTGTGTGGTGTATTCCAGCCTTCAGTTCGTTTTTGTAGAAGATGCGCTAGACTTCCTGATCTGCCGTACTTTACTGAAACTTTTCCACTTCACTGTAATCCAGACACCTGAATCGGCTCCTAAAAAATGCTGAAAATGCACTCGTCTACACCACATCTGGACATATGCCCAGTTTCTCCATCATTTGATGAATTACCACTGCCATGATCACTAGAAAGCATGCATAAACATGTCTTTTTTAATAAAAATACATTTACCGTCCACAGAAAGCAAAAATTGTTAGTGCCGAGCAGATAGTGCTGAACAATGCATACTATAATTAGCCAAATTTACATCGAAAGGATGCATGTTTGTACTGAAATGACTTGTGGGTGGTTAGTGAATAAGGCCATTTAGAGAATTTGGCCCAATTTTTAGCATAACATATTGTAAAGTTCACGCCGTATATATATAAATGATCATAAAAAGTCCATAAAACAGAACATGAGAGCATTACGTGCATAAAATATCCTACAGCTGCTGCAAACTCTCTGCTGCATTAAAACACGGCACTCGCAGAGAACAACGGAAGTGAAAAGAGGAGGCAGAAGGGACAATAGGGAGAACTGCTTTGGGGTCACCTCTAGGTAATGTCCCTTTAGTGTGACCAGCTGGACAGCTTGCGTGGGTGCTGTATTTTGCTCCCATAGAGCGACAGTGTGACAGAGCCTCCATATGGAGAGAACAGCTGAGGACGCAATTGTGTTAGGACCCAACAGAGCAGCATTCCTTCGTTTCGTCAACCATCCATCCATTCTTTTATTCATTTGGCCCACACACTCACTCCCTCTGGAAAGGCCCGGGTCAGGTAGAAATAAGTACAGATGGAGGTTCAGTTCTGCATGCTGCCTCATGTGAATACAATCTTATTAGTGGAGGCTGAGCACTGAGCGAATCAATTTTGTGATAATGCTCATCCTAAACGGGCCATAGTCTATCTAGATGTTTGTATTATTGTGATTTCATGATTGATATTACTTTCATACCATTTGATACTATAGCTGTATTTTCATATGGCCAGTGGACCAGTTAAAGTGATTGATTTAAGTGTTTAAACTAGTGCTGTCAAATGATTAATCGCATCTAAATTAAAAGTTTTTGTTTACATAATATATGTGTGTATAATATGTATATTTATTATGTATATATAAATACAAACACATGCATGTATATATTTAACAAAAATATGTTATGTTTATATGTTCAATATATTTATATTAGTGCTGTCAAACGATTAATCGCATACAAATTAAAAGTTTTTATTTACATAATATGTGACCCTGGACCACAAAACCAGTCATAAGGGTCAATTTTTCGAAATTTTGATTTATACATTAGCTAAAAGCTGAATAAATAAGCTTTCCATTGATGTATGGATAGGACAATATTTGGCCGAGATACAACTATTTGAAAATCTGGAATCTGAGGGTGCAAAAAAATCTAAATATTGAGAAAATCACCTTTAAAGTTGTCCAAATGAAGTTCTTAGCAATGCATATTACTAGTCAAAAATGTAGTTTTAATATATTTACAGTATTTACAAATTTTTGTAAATGTATAAAATACCTTCATGGAACATGATCTTTGCTTAATATCCTAATGATTTTTGGCATAAAAGAAAAATCTATAATTTTGACCCATACAATGTATTTTTGGCTATTGCTACAAATATACCCCAGCGACTTAAGACACATATATATGTGTGTACTGTCTATATTTATTATGTATATATAAATATAAACACATGCATGTATATATTTAAGAAAAATATGTTGTGTTTATGTATTAAATATATTTATGTATAATATAAAATATAAGAATATAAATATATAAATGTACATGAATGTATTTAATACACGAGTTTCACAATTTGAGTTGAACTACTGAAATAGATTTACTTTTCCACAACATTCTAATTTATTGAGATGCACCTGTACTCTATGTGTGTGCATTTATATATACATAATAAATATACACAGTACACATACATATATTATGTAAACAAAAACTTTTATTTTGGATGCGATTAATCGCGATTAATCATTTGACGGCACTAATTTATATATAATATAAAATAGAATATAAATATATACATGCAAATACATTTAAATATTTTCAAAATATTTACTGTATGTATGTGTATTTATGCATACATAATAAATATACACAGAACACATACATATATTATGTAAACAAAAACTTTTATTTTGGATGCGATTAATCGCGATTAATCATTTGACGGCACTAATTTATATATAATATAAAATAGAATATAAATATATACATGCAAATACATTTAAATATTTTCAAAATATTTACTGTATGTATGTGTATTTATGCATACATAATAAATATACACAGAACACATACATATATTATGTAAACAAAAACTTTTATTTTGGATGCAATTAATCGTGATTAATCGTTTGACAGCACTAGTTTAAACTAAAATCTGTTAATGTAATTGCATTAGATAATATGCTTAATATAATAAGGTTTGCTCGAAAAATTCACTTTCTTTAAAAAAAAAAAATCTAATCCAATTTATGGCCATATGTTGCAATATGCAGTATGTTTTAAATACTATACCTAATTAAATATTATTATATTTTAGGTTTCCAAAAATGATTAAAATCCCCAAATGCTGATGCTATAAGGGCACATGAACTGTGTAGAGAAAAAGTCAGGCTTATTTCTGTAAATAAAATGGATTCTGTTCGTCCCCTGAGTGACAAAGGCAAAGAAGCAGTGAGGGGTGAAAACACGAGTGCTGAGAGAGGGACAGAGAGGGACCCACCCAAAGGCAAAGACGTCAGACTGTTTGGAGAAAGGAAGCTGGTTTTCTGCGGTGTCTGGGGAGAGCTGACGGATGAGCTCAGGAGCGAGATGACATAGCCAGCCACTTGGGATCCGCAGCTTATCCTTTCTCCTACTGGAGAGAGAGAGAGAGAGAGAGAGAGACACACACACACAGAAGACGATGAAGTTTAAAACACAAATCCTTTTTGAGTTAGATTCATTTGTACCACACAAAAGGTCAGAAAACAAACTAAAAGATCATTACAGTGACAATTCTGTCCAAGAAATACAATAGAGGGCAAGCGACTATTAGTCTTCCATAGTCTTCCATAGACTATCAACAAAGTCTAATTAAATGAGATCTCTTTTTGAACTTGTTTCCCCTAGAAAGCAATGAGATCAAATGAAGAGCAAATGGAGACTTTTGCTATAATCTCAGTTTTTCCAAATATTCTCCTCAGAAAAATAAATCTTTTTTTTGTATAGATCTACACTCTTCAACAGGTTATGCCTATTAATTTCTAAATCTATTTATTTTTACTTTTAAATACAAAGTTGATACTTGTGACTATATGTTCCACAGAAACTCTACAACATGTTTTAAAGACTGAATGGCAAGAAACTCAAACTAGCATCTTTTTTTGTTCTTAGAAGTATACAATGTAGCAGAGTCTGGAAACTTGTAAACAGAACTTTGCTTCCCACCGGACCGATTAAAAACCACTGAACCCTCTACAATGATAAAGTAGTTTAAAGGTAGTGATAAAGTGGATTTGAAAGTGGTCTATTACTGACAGACATAGAGCCGTTTCAGCTTGACTGAGTCCCTGATCCAAGTAAAAACGAATTCACTCACCCATGATACTGTAGTGTGTGTATATATATATATATATATATATATATATATAAAATGTATGGGCTCAGGGGGGAAAAAATGCCATCAAAATGAACAGAAATACCCCCCAAAGCTCAAATAGTGGGAACAAAATGCACTTTAATTTATTTCTTTATTTTTTCCTTAATTTAACATCCTATTATAAATTCATAACAATATAAATAATTAATAACTAATATATAATTATTATAATTTTATTAATTTATCATTAATTTATACCATTTACATTTTATAAATAATATTGTAACGTGGCTGACAAGACGTGAGACGTGTGGATCCATCTGCAGGCTTTATTAAAGAGACGTGGTAAACAGGTAGGGTAAGAACAATGGCAAACAGGTATATGGCGGGCAAAACACAAGAATAGTCCCAGGGCTAGCGTTGGTCACCGATCAGCAGACAGAATCACAGGGGCGAGACGAGAGGGAGAAATCCAAGAAAACAGGCAAAGATCAGAAACCGCAAAAACAGGCAAGGCAAAACAAGGAAAACACGGAGACTCGGAAAGGGGTACAGGCTAAACAATACTCAGCAGAGAAATGTGGTTAGAGTGGGTGTTATATAGTGAGTGAGGTGATTAGCACCAGCTGTGTGCAATCAGTGCAGTGTGCAAATCGTGCAAAGAATGATGGGATATGTAGTCCGGGGTGCTATGCAACAGTTTGTGTTGTGCGAGAGTCAATGAAATGGAAAGGGTGACCTCTGGTGGACCTCTGAATAAACGGAAGTCCATGGACTGAATTCGTGACAAATATATATTTACAAATACATTTTTATAAGCAACAACCTATATAATTATGCATAGTCAGACGTCATTTTAATAAATGAGATCAATCTTTTTTTACCTAAAATATAAAATCAGGAGCAAATATTGCCCCCTAATTAAAATAATAATAACAATAACAATAATAATAATAATATTATTATTATTATAAACACTGCTCCAGACCAGGAAACAATAAAAACTTTAGATCATGTTATGTTACATCATTATCACAAAACACAGAATAAAGAAAGAAAAAAAAGATACAAGAGCTCTTAGGGCTTCCACAGCATTAAAGGGGTCCTATTATGCTTTTTCACTTTTTTAATTTTAGTCAGTGTGTAGTGTGTATGTTTGGGCATTAAAAAAAGAAAGTTACAAATCTAGAAAGTTACAAATCTCAAAGTCCACTCCAAAGGGAGATGTTTCGTTTTTTTTTTAATCCCTTTTCAAGAACTACAACGAACGGCTCGTTTGGACTACAGCGTTTGTTTTCCGGGCTTTGTGATATCACAAAGCGGCTCATTAGAATATCATTACAAATAATTCCTGCCTACAGAAATTCGAATGGTTGGGGGGTGGGGAGGGGCGAGTTTGTGGTTAGAACGCTTGGTTGAGTGAGTGCATCAGACGAGACGATGAAGAAGAAGAGCTGCAGCGTCAAATTTTCGGCATGTCTAGAACAGCGGTTCTCATTTTCAGTCCTCGCGTACCCCCGCTCTGCACATTTTGTATGTTTCTCTTATTGCTTCATACATTTGTTATATTTGACTGTAAGTGCCCTGTGAAGTGGACATTACCGGATATTCCTCCATGATTCCAGTTTGAAGGGAGCGTATATGTTCCATACAAAGGGCATTTAAGTGTGCGAGACGTGAATTTAAATTGTATTTACAGAGGTATATTATGTCCCACTTCAAGCTTCTCTAGTAAGTTTCGTTTGTGTGTGTGTGAAGACGCTGCAGGCAGCAGTGCAGCGCAAATCTGTAAATGAATGTTCCGAAGTGAAGTAAACTTCAACGGATTCCCCTGCTCAGGGAGTAAGGAGCAATGGACACTGTGTAGGGGGCATGTCAATCGGAACACAGTTCATGCACGGAGCTCACTTCTAACGAGATGATGATCTGAATCAGGTGTGTTAACAAAGAGAGACGTGCAAAACATGCAGAGC